CCACAACAAAAACAGTTACATAAGACTTGGGCTATTATAACTGACTGATGACTGAGAAAACCCAAATTTTTGAGACAGAAAGGGAATTAAACTATTTATATTTCATGTCGTTTAGTTTCCATCCCCGCTCAACCCCCCAAGAAACTACTTCTGATGACACCCACTGTCCTCACTGATTTCTCAATGAGAACAGTAGTTGCAGTATCTCTGTAAGATGGTGCAATCACAGATGGATCAGCTGGAAGCATTTTTAATTTCTGCATTCATTCAAGTCAAGAACTGCTAAACTGCTGGGACAGGAGAAATTATGAAATCTATCCATCATGAAGGCTTTTTGAAAGCGTTTGCATTTCCAGTCAAACTGAAAAGATTTTGGAGTAAAAACAATAAAGCTGTTGTGGGATACAATAAGCTACAATGAAGTAAGATTTTCATCTTCTCCGAAAACATTCAAACTTGTTTGTGCAAGGGTATGTGGAGAGAGAAAACTTCTGCTCCCTTAACTTGTCAAGCACCTTTTTGAAACAAAACGGAAGAGTAGAAAGGGAAGCCATAATCAAGAAGAAAAAGGTAGAAAAAAATAGGAAAAAAAAAAGGGGGGAAAATGGACAAAAGGGAGAAAATTCGTGTGGCCAAGGCTCTGTTAGAGTTGTAGCTGGCCAGTACTGTGGATGACAATACAGAGAGCTCTTTTAAATATGGTAACAGCAAAAGGAGAACCAAAGAGATAACACTGGTCCATTACTTGATGAGGATTGAAACCTCACAAATAGGGACGTAGACAAAGCACAGACATTTAATGCCTTCTTCACCTCAGAACACCAATGATGGGCCCTGGAACCCCCAGAGCCCCAAGTTGGAGGATCACACCTGTGTTAATGATACACTTCCAGCCAACCCCAACTTGTTTGGGATTTGCTGCTCCACACGGATGCATATAGCTCTGTGGGACCCAAAGGGATTCATCCCAGGGTACACAGAAGATGGCAGATGTCATTGTGAGTCCTCTCTTAATTATTTTTTTAATAGTCTTGGGAATCTGGAGAGGCCCCAGTCCATGGGAAGTTTGCAAACATTGCGCTAAATTTTGAGAAATGCAAGGAAGAAGACCCTGGTAAATACTGACCTATCAGACACACTTCAGTGCCTGGTAAAACAATGGAGATTATTCCGGGAGTTACAGAAAAACACTTCAAAGACAATACAATCATTGTAGTGCAGTAAACCCAACATGGGCTTATGAGGGGAAAGTCCTGTTTAATTAATGCAATTTCCTTGTATGACAAGGTTACCCACCTAGTTGAGCACGGGAAGTCACGAAATGTAGGCTTTTGGATTTCAGCAAAGATTTCAGTCCTGTTTCTCACAATAGGATTCAGGACTAAATGTCTAGCATACAACGAGACAAGAAGGTAGTAAGATGGGTGAACAACTGGCCAACGAGTTGGGCTGAAAGGGTTGTAGTGCATGGGGCTACATCAGGCTGTCTGACAGGCACTAGTAGGGTTCCCCAGGGCTCCATTCTGGGGCCAGTTCTCTTCAGTGTTTTCATAAATGACTAGCATATAGGGCTCAAATACATACTATCAAAGTTTGCAGGTGATATGGAATTAGGAGGAGGTCTTGACTTCCTCCAGGGTGGACAGGCTTTGCAAAGAGATCTTGACTAATTAGAGGCCTTGGCAATCACCAACAAATTGAAGTTTTCCAAGAACAAGTGGCAGGTTCTGTACCTGGGATGGAGCAAACCTGGTTGTACCTACAGAGAGGCTGGAGATCAGCCCCACAAAAAGGGATCTAGGGGTTCTGGTTGGTGGCAGGTTGAACATGAGCCAGCAGCGTGCCCTGGCAGACAAAAGGGCCAACTCTGTACCCTGGGGAACACCAGGCACAACACTGCCAGCTGGGTGAGGGAAGGGATTGTCCTGCTCTGCCCTGTGCTGGTGCAGCCTCACCTTGATCTATCTGCAGTTTGGGGCACCATGGTACACGAAGGACATAAAAGTATTAGGAGGGCTACAAAGATGGTGAAAGGTCTGGAGGGCAAGACATGTGAGGAGCAGCTGAGGCCCTTTGGTTTGCTCAGCCCTGAGCAGAGCAGGCTGAGGGGAGGCCTCGTGGCGGCCTGCAGCTCCCTCACGAGGGGAGCGGAGGGGCAGGCGTGAGCTCTGCTCTCTGGGGACAGCGACAGGACCTGAGGGAACGGCATGGAGCTGGGACAGGGGAGGGTCAGGCTGGGGGTTAGGGAAAGGGTCTGCACCCAGAGGGGGGTCGGGCACTGGGACAGGCTGCCCAGGGCAGTGGTCACGGCACCAAGCTGCTGGAGTTGAAGAAGCCTTTGGACAATGCTCTCAGACCCATGGACTGAGTTTTGGGTGGTCCCGGCTGGATCTAGGATGATCCTTGTGGGTCCCTTCCAACTCAGGATATTCTCTGATTGTATGGTTCTATCAAGAACATACACAGCTGCAAATCTGACCAAGATGCAAGAAACATACCTGGTCAGCCACACCCATTGATGGGTTAGCAAGGAACTGCAGGCAAAACAGAACCTTACATATGCTGAAGGATGCAAGGATCTGGGATATCGGAGGGGTGTTGGAGGATTCATGCACAGAGAGTAGGGTTCCTGTTTCCTTTTACCTCAGAAACAGCCATATTGCTTTTCAGTAGCAAAGCTATCCCCATAAGGAATGAAATTAGGTCAACAGATCATCATCAGCTACTAAATTTTCTCAGCTCCAATTATATATTTGCAGCTGTGATAAATCTCCCTGTTTAAAATCACATCATCTGCAATACAGCCAAACACACACACATGGATGTACTCACCTGACCTGACACTACAGAACTGTGATGTCTTTTTGTTTCGTGTCTGCACAAGTTTAATTAAAGATGCATGTTTTTAACTTTATGATGGATAATGACGATAAGCAGCTGGACTGATCTCTCACTTCCTGCCTTCTATCTGACTCTTCTCATGCTAATCACTGATTGCCATGGAAATCACTAAGCACACTTTCAATTACTTCACCTTTTCCAATCAGATGGACCTAGTAGAGAGATTAATACTTGTGTTTGAACACGTATATTTAGGAGAACAAAAGCAAGACTTTTGAAACCTCATGGATTCTGCAGCTAAAAATCTTTGCTATCTACCTTGTCCTTTGTGACATAAGCCACCAGGAAAGGTTATTTTAGTCAAAGAAATACTGATACTGCAGAGCATGTCAGAGCTGAGATAGCATACATGCAAAAGAAATAAAAGAAAAGGTGTCCCACATTAAAAAATGTCTTTCCCTTGTGAATGCTCCACTTTAGATGATGAAAAACACTTACCCTCAAAAGGTTGTCTTCTTCCCTTAGACACTTCTTGACACATCATTTCCATTTCCTTTCTTACTTTTACTTCTCTCCCACATACTGCAGAAAATAAGTCCTTCAGATGTTTTGTTACAAACAAAGCTGTGAATCACGGCTTGCTTTTTAAAAGTGTATGAAATCCAGACTGTAGGGGAACAGCCAGGTGCTCCATACCTTTGAGAAAACAGACAATACCACCACTGTTTTCTGACACAAATCAAGTGAGTTCTAAAGGGTTCTGTATGCTTATGAGTAGCTGGGTAGCATTTACATTTATTACAATTGGAAAATCGTGGAAGATTTGAAGCCCTACATCAGAGAATAACAACAACAAATATTATAGAGTGCAAGTAAAAGAGATGATGATGCAAACACATTACATTTTTCAATTCTTTTCACATGTCAGTAATTCATTCCTTGCACATGCATCACAGTATCAGGATTACGAGACAACAACTAAGTAAATTTAACAATTTTGGGACATTGAATTCCAGTCATGCCCTCTAAAAAATGTAAAATATACAGTTGTCTAACCATATTTAAAGAATCTTTCACATAAGCTGTTATATTGAAATAACCTAATAGCCATGTCATAGATTAAAAAAATAAAATAGAGAGAGGAGAAAAAAAGAAAAAAAAAAGTAAACCCCACAACATTCTGGTAATAATAATGAATTTACACAGCATGAATGTCACTTATTTGGATAATAGCCTGAAATGAAAGCTATTTAGAGAGCTATTGATTGCCCTGATACACAAAGAATGAAAACAAATTTACAGCAGCATTAACTGAAGTCTATGAAAGACATTTTAACACAAAGACAATTTTGATATGAAAAAATACCATTTTTTGATAAATGAAAGCTTAAAGCTATACAAAAGTAGCATGCTATCTGAGGAGCATAACTGCAGATCTAAAAACTGATACCATCTTAATGCACATATATGTACATCATTAGAGTTTACAAAAATAATGAGTGTACCCTCAAGCACCTTTTCAACCAGATCAGATTAGGGGTCATCTGCGTTCTCTTCATCAGGTAGTTGCATAAAATTTGTGCAGCAAATTTTACGTTCTAAAGGCAATCAACTGGGATCAAAGTAATGCAGCTCTATATTACACCTATTTTGAATCTGAAAGAAGCAAAGTGTATTTTTTGAACGTAAAAAGGCAGATACCTAGTTTCAAGATTTTAAGCTCTCTGAAATATATTCCATTCAATTATAAAAGCATTTAAAAAGGGGAAGCACTTCACTAAACAGCATGCTGAAACTTGAAGATGTTGTTACAGTCACATGAACTTCATTCAGCTGCCCAGGTTCTTGGACTCTAAACAGTTTAGCCAGATGTCTACTGTCAAAATCAAGTTTCTTAACACGTATTACTACTGTGCATCATCCTTTCATAAACTAGGCTCAAACAAAATATGTAAGAATGCAACTGAAAAAGCCTTACTCATTGATGCTCAAATAGACAATAAATTAAATCTGCTGACATCACATAAATTCATGGAAGATGGTGTGATTCCTGTTAAAAGAAGCTTATCACCAAAAAGAGATAAGCAATATGTAGGAAGGGTATCTGTTAACAATGATATTCTACTCCAGGGTAAATACACTGTCACAGAAAACAGAGGTTTTAGGAGATGAAAACTTTATTTAAAAACTGCCAACATGTAACAAAAACAATTTTACACTATTTTCCATTTTCTACAGAAATACAATAACTTACAGCTGTGCTTAGTACATTCTATCACTAATACATATAAAAACAAGTCTGCTGATAAATAAGTGAAAAAAAAATCCATTTATCACCATCACCACTAAAATTGTACCTGTAAATTTTGGAAGACATCTGCATAGAATGGTTAGGGCTCTAGGGAAGTTCTTTTTTTTTAAAATATATTTTGTACTACTAGAATATGTAAAAATAGAATTAACATGCAATAGAAAATATTCAAGATAAACAAGGTAAAACTCAGTGTGCACAACTGGAAAGCGATGTTAGGATGTCCTCCTATGTTTCTAAGTAGACACCAGAGATCTGAACATTTTATATGGCAAAATTTCAACTTCCCTTTACAGCAAAGCTAGGTTTATAATGATGAAAATCTGTATCTGGCTAGGTTCCACTGGAGAAGGATTAAAAAGAGGAAAAGATCTAGTACTAGATAACAACAAATAATTCTAGAACATTTCAAATCAACATTGAGTAGATGCATTTTAAAAAGTAAAGTTGTTACCCAATTATAAGCATCTGTGAGATGACAGTGTGACAAACGTGCAGTTTACTGTTGCACCATGAACATATACAGCAAGCTTTGAGAACAGTAAAACTTAAGCCTTTCACTATTTATTAAGACTTTCTCCCTTCAACGTTACACCAATTATTACGTGTCACCTAAAAGCTTACCATTTGTCCCTAAGAATTTTGCATACTCAGTCAACTGACCTATAGTACCTTGATATGCAGTACCTCCTAGAACTTGTTATGTGTTACCCTGTTAGCACACAGGTACAAAGTACGAGACTTTTCTCAATCACAAAAACAAAAAAGTTTTCCTAGCTCTTGATACTTGGGTAGTACCCATATTAGTCTCTAGCTGCCCTTTTAAACCAGTAGCACTCCAGAACCTGAACAGTTTTTCCTCAACCACAGCACTAATGAATATACATTACCCTAACAACTGTTATTCGTGAGGTCATGAATATGACCATCTGAAATCACTTACAACCCATCACACAAAGCCACCATGCAGTGACTGATGCCCTCTCTGCAGCATGGCCTGATTCTTTCCCAGTGAATTCAAGAGGGAATTTTGTCACTTGCTTTAACAGAAGTAAAAATGATCTCTTCTACCTCGTAACCAATGACCGGATGCACAGGAACAGCACAAAGCTGTGCCAGGGGAGGATCAGTCTGGACACAAGGAAAAATTTCTTTACCGCAAGGGTGGTGAAACACTGAAACAGGCTTCCTGGAGAGGTGGCTGATTCTCCCATAGCGTTCAAGAGGCATTTGGACAATGCCCTCATTAATGTACTCTAACTTTTGGTTAGCCCTGAAGTGCTTGGGCAGCTGGACTTGGTGATCTTTGCAGGTCCCTCCTAACTGAACTGCTCTGTTCTGTTCTGTTCTAAAATTAAGCACGCAGACTGGTAGCAAACTGCCACATCCTGCAAATTGTTTCTGTGAAAAGACTCTGTAGGTTTTATTACTTGCTCATACTAAGCCTTCTGATCTAATGAAACCCCAAATTAAGTGAACCAAAATTATACATATCTGCTCAGGGCTTCCTATAAACCCCTTCTGCCTTCCCACCCCAGCAATAAGATAACCTGAAAGAAACATGTATGAGCAGAAAATGCCCCTGCAGTAAATTTTGAATTAAAAATGACAAGCAGTATTTTCAATAATGCCTTGTGATTTCAGGTGCTCATTTTAGAACATTTGGAGTGAATGGTATTGTCTAGGAGAAAAGAGTAAAGGTGATAGCATTTTGCAAAAAATAAAAATAAAAGCCCTGTAAGAGAGAGATTTTAAATCCAGTAGTTCAAAACCAGAAGGCATTCAAAATGATGAGTAACTTAAAAAAAAGTCACATCAAAAATTCTTTTTTTTTTTTTATCATACGGACAATACGAGAAAACACTGAAAGTAACGTACCAAAAGAACCATTTGATGTCTGTAATTCAAATATCAATTTCAGTTGCCAGCCTGTGTCTCACATCCTCTTTCTAGTCTCCTCTGATGCTGAAGTAGTTCATCAAAAATGTGCCTTTTTCCTTCTGGGGCACTTTTGTAAGCTATCTGGCAAGTAGGACACCAACTGAACACCCACCCCCCAGTCCTGCCAGTCTGCAGAACCTTGCCAGTTCTTTCACTGTCTCAAACACGAGCTATAAGCACTTGTAACAATGATTTGGTCTGTGGATGCACACAGACCAAGATCATGAAAGGAAAGAAGATGAAGACACAGAGGGGAAGAAAGAGATCTTGCTGCTTTCAGAAAACCTTGACACTGGCAATTATCTCTCTAGAACCAGAAACTTAAGACAGGTCTTCCATGGAAGAGTTCTACTCACAGATCATCAGCATTACATAAAAATAGTCCTATGTGGGAGATTTTGCGTTTTTTTTTTTTTTTTTTTTTTACAGGATGTTACATGAACACGGCTCTGCTGCCATTCATCCACCTGTACATATACACATGCTTACTGTGGGAGAATAAATATCAATAATTTGTTCACATATCTCTACTAATGAAAAAAAATAATCCCTGAAAAAAATTCATTTTATAACTAAGCAAGACCAGTGAAAAATAAACTTAATGCTTTATAATCATTATCCTGTAGAACACTGTTCATTTATTGTATCACTTTCCAGTGTTTTACTGTTCTCTTATTCTTTCTGCTACAAAACTTAATATTTATCTAATTTATCAACATTGGAAATCAAAAAATTACAATGGTCACAAATGTGCATCTGAGAATTTTTTATAGAAAAATATTGCAAAATAGTGTTTAAAAACAACTGTTTATCCTAATATGAAAGCTGTGAGAATTAAATACTTTTTCACATATCTTGATAAAATAAACATTTTGCCCTTTGTAGAATAGTATTTTGATGGACATGAGAGTGCTACAAAATTAGTGTTTAATGGCATACTTAAATATCATAGTGCTATCACTATCGTGAATCCTAATGCTACTTAAAACCATTTAAGACATCCACTATTTTTTATTACATGAAGTTAAACAATACATTCCCAAGCACGTTTTACAAGATAGCTACCCAGTTTTAAATGTCGACACTTCAAAAAAGAACTGGAACAAAAGGGAATTAACATAGTAGGTATAAACATATTTTGTCTTATAAAAAAAAAAACAAACACCAAACACAAGTTTTGGTACCTTGAATCATTTATGTGACTTTTCAACAGGTAATAACGTAATCTATACTCTGCTTAAAACAAACAAGAACAACAACACATACCGAACTTATCTATTCATTCTACACAGCCATTTGTTCAGGGAATCCTAATGTATTAGTGACATACCAGTTCCAAAAGGAACATACAGGAATGCCTCATCCAAGAAAAGCTCTTTGTTTCACCACAATTTTATTCTAATCAGAACATGTCCTGTGAACAAAATACACGCCTCCCTTTTGCTGTGGGCTCTTCCCCGCCTCCACCTATATAGAAGGATTAGCAGCAGGTTTGAGATGGTGCAGGAAAAGATGCTTAATAAACTAGACTTCAGGTAAGAGTTCTGCTCTTCAGGATAGAATCACAGAATCATTTAGGTTGGAAGATCACCTAGTCCAACCTTTGGGTATTTACATCATCAATAAACATATGCCAGCCATCAACAACTGAAAGCATTGTTAATTCTAATATTGTCTCCTAACGAGTTTAAAAATAAAAATAAAAAAATCTGAGATACGTAGCATGCCAACACAGATACAGAGTAAGAAGCTCACCATCATTACAGCTATGCCCACGTGAGATACTCAGCTGTACACTGAATAGCCTACTGAATTGTACTAGGGAACTTAGAGAAGAAACACAGCAACTCCCAGGAGCTTCCTGCAAGACTATAACAGTAATTTAAGATACAGAATAAAAATATGATGTAGATGAGATGGTAAGGTACAGTATTAGTGTGTGGGTAGATATAAAACACTACACTAGACAAAAAATGTTAAAAGCCAGCTACTACATGTTTAGCATTTAGGTTTTATTTTTAAATCAATAATTATAAACTGTAAAAATGTACCCTAATTCACTATGACTATGCCCTGAGAAGTAACATTACACACTAAGTAAAAGCCACTAGAAAGTGTCAGGTTTATACTTGAAAAGCATAAACTGTCTACAAGAAATTTCTTGGAAGCACACATTTCCTCCATATATTATTATATATATATTTTTTTAGCAATACGTCGCTTTTTCAGAGGAAAAGATTAATGAAAGTTTATGTTAATTCTAGTTTTCCCAAATTTAACTACTACCTGAAGCATCTACCACCACATATGTATGTATATATTTTTCCTTCATCACCCCTCCCCACACACCCTTAAACTGTTCTGGGGAAACTAGATGGCTTCATAGATAAAGCTTTTCACCTCTAAAAGAGGATTTAGGTCTGGCATGAGGTTTCCGAAAAAACTGAGCCTGATGAACTCCCCTTAAGGACATTAATCAGAGCACTTTTTGGGAGGTAGACAGAGTTATCTAAACATGAAATGAGGCCACCTCACCAATGCTTTGCTACATTCTTCTTTTGCTGGTTGGAAGAATAGACAAGTTGTTCTGAAGGAAACATACCTCTGAACACATGGCAAAAAAGAAGGAAAATTTTCTTAGACAGGGACACTGACCTTCCTTTGAAACTAACTTGAGTGTTAAGTGCATTTGAGAATAGCTGATTTATCCTCTCTTATATCTAACATTAAAATATAGCAAGTTCCAATTGTAAAGAACTCTTATCCCCAAATGAATACAAGACAAACATACATTTAAAAGTCACATCTACATTTCATTTCACTGCTTGATTTCCATAATTGCTCTAGAACATACAACCCAACAGTCGTGGGTTTTTTTTTGTCCCTACACTAGAGTGCAAAGGTTCACTTCCTACTGAGTACAAACAAAATCTAAGGATCATTACTCCCTCACTGAAGGCAAAACAAAGCAAAAAGCCTTGTCCAAAAATTCAGTCCATCAAATCTCTGAAGACTCACTGCTTAAATTATTCTGTGGTAGTCACATTTTGTTCATTGTATTATATGTTATTCTGAAAAAGTATGCTTGCCAAGTCTGGCTAGACTGACAAGCTTCTCCAAGAACCTTTGTTTCTGCTCATCAATATTAGACAATACTGCTTAAAAATTAATTATCTACTTAGTAAAAAATTTAATCCTATCCATAAAGACTAGCTACATATTCTAGTGAAGTAGGACTAGCACAAAACTAGAAATGCTAGAAATTTTGATTGTAGAACAGATTCTAAGCTTTCTTATCATATTATTACTTTGCTTATTTGTCTTAAAATAAGATCTATATAAGTTAATTAAACTGTGTAAACTATTTACTTTTCCCCATATTTAAATGACACAAGGATTTGATTGTATAAAGAATGTAAGAAGTCAACAAAACACTAATATGCAGGTTTAAGTAGATTAACAAATATTAATCAGAGCAGCTATAGTGGTGTGCTCCAACATTAACATTATACAGGTTTATTGTAGCTATTTTTAATGCTGCACATGTTGCTCCAGTGACTGTAACACACAAGATACCAAATGCCAGTGAAATAATAGTTAATGTATGTAGCAGCAGCAAATTCAACCCATTAAAACCGTGATTCCTTCCATTCTAACTTCTGCAGTTTCAAATTACATTTGTTCCTCAAAACCCTTTATTTCTAGCACAAATACATTTCTACAAGGATTAATCCAGTGAACAAAAAACGTGCATCAATGCAAGTGACCTACTACAGTGGAAGGTAATTTCAGTAAAGATGCTGAATTCTATATGAAGATGTTTAAAGATGTACAAGGTTTGATTTTGTAGCTGAGGGAACTTACAGAGAGTTAGAGCCTTGTATTCTGCAGTTTCTGTTGGACAGTTTCTCCATGAAATAGAGAAGATTGATATTAAAATGCTCTGACCTCTGAAATACAAAGAGACTAAAATGCCTGAAGTATCTTTACACAGTAACCTCTACCCATGTTAACTGCCAATGCCCTGGAGCTACTTTTCTTGCTGCAAGTCATGCCCAAATGGGACTCTGAACTAATATTGAATGGCAAAATAAGTGTGTACCAAAGATCATAGTTCCAGAACATCGTACCATTGTGAATTTAATACAATTTGCTGGAAGTATCTCTCCATTCATTTCATGTAAGAGGCTTCAAGATACTGACAACAAGAAATAATTTAGTTATCTATTTTATTCGTCCCTATAAATTACATTGTTACAGTGAAAAAAAAATTAAAGCCTTTTTTTATTTTTGTCAGCTTACTGTTTACGTGTCTTTCCAGATGGAAAACATGACTTGTTTCAATCAAATTCATTTCCATTGTTTACTTTTCTATGTGGCAGTCTATTCTGAAAACATTTCTAAAAGCAGCAATTCTCATTGGATTAAAAAAAAAAAAAAGGGAATTTTTCTATCAGGTATAGGCTTTAAAAATTCACTCTTTGGATTCATTCTACAGTCACCAGTGTCCTGTGCAAGTAATAAAAATATCAGCACCATCTCTTATCAGAGCTCTCAGAACATCTTCCAAGCACAAAAGCACAATGAAACTCTATTCAGCTATGTAGGACCAAATCTTGTCTTCATACAAGCATACATAACTCCTGCTGACAAAAATAGGAACTGCACTCATGCATTTGAGGGCAGTTGTTTGATCTTAAGTGTTTATGTCAGGAAGATTGTCAAATTCAATAGCACAGTACAACCATGATTTAGCTCCAAGAAAGCCAAGTAAGACTCCAGATTTCAGTCTGGAAGAAATATCCTATGGGTTTCAAGTCAGGGTCTGGCGTAAATCTTGCAAGTTCCTCTAAAAGCCTCAATCACTCCAGTGCAAGAAGGGAGCATTTCTTCCCTCCCACAATTTAAGAAACATTTCCTATCCTGCTCCCACTTCTCAGTCTTCTGTCTGCTTCTGTTCTTCTTATGAGGAGGTAATTTTTGCAAAGGTAAACAAAGAAAACACAACTAAGTTACTGTCTAACTAACAAAGGACCACGAATAAGGTCCTTAATAGACTGCCAGCTGATGTCACACTTACCAGGTTCCTACTAGTCGTTAATGGGATATCTGTAATCAAGCTGACCCAGGCTACTGCACGTGATTAGTGTACCTTTCATACACAAAACACATCACATCTTCTGGGATGGGTGTAACTTGCTAGAGTTGGGTTGACTCTAGTTTGTACCTGAACGTACCAATTTTGCAGTGGTCACACAGAAAAAATCTTATGACCAAATAATCCTCTCAAGCCATTCCCACACCTCTTCCACACATCGGCTACATTATTCTGTAACTAAAACCATCAACCAAGATGGCATCTCAGATCACATCAAAACAAACTGCCATGTAATATCTCCCTACCTTTACAGAAAAAGGTATAGATGCTCACAGAGACAAAGCTTTGCCATGCAGATCCTCAAGCCTAAGTCAGACGTATCTAGGTACTACAAACAGAAAAGCACATACTCAGAAATGTCTCTGCTACTTTGTGGCTGAAATGGATTATGAACATCCTCTATAAGACCAGAGGAGGTCAATTTTCATTCTGAAATGCATGGGTAACCTCTATCCACCAAATTATTTAGGACTGTTTGAATTCCACAACTCAAGTACCACTTTTTTCTTTTCAGGTTATAACTTTTTTGAGCAGGCTACCTGTCTTTCAGTCCCTTGTTCTTGCTCTCTCTCTCTGCCCAACAGAGACAGCAGCTTGAAACCTACTGTAGGCAGGAGGCACTTTGGGCAGGAGAAATATACAGCAATTTTGGCGAAGACTCTAGCTTGAAAATCTAATCTCCTCAGACAATATTCTCTGTTTGGAACAGAGACAATGTTGCCATTGTACAAACCTCTACAGTTGTACAATATTTCTCCCCTTAAAAATCCCTTATATAGACAACTCCTAAAGAAACAACAAAACAAACCATTCATGTTTAATTCCACCAGAACAGAAATGTATATCAAATCCCCTTAAAATTTATAGTTATGTAAACAGAGGTCCTATGGTTGGAGAAGTGCAACGAAAGAGGGTTCCAAAGGAAAAAAAAAAAGAACAATAAAAAAAAACAGAAACAAAACAAACCACAGAAGCCCTGCAGAAGAACAAGAAGTGAAGAGACAGCTGTCTCTTCCAGCTGTCTTCTCCTTTTTTTTTTTTTTTTTGAATTGTATAGTCTCAACAACCAGTCAGCAGAAATACTTTTTAGTCCACCATCTTCTGGATTTGTATGGTGTTGGTTAACTACAAGTTACCAATTTGTGACTTGGCAGGCTGATATTCTGTAGTGTACGTAATACATTCAGAAATGTTTATCAAGTGTCATTAATTATGGATTGTTGAGGTAAAATAAATAAATAAATACAAAGTAGGATATGAAGGTAAATAAGTCTGCTCTATGAAAAATATTTCCAAATATAGCTCAGACTGTAAGTGTGTGTGTGCTTGTGATGCATCTGCTTTTCAGAATTCCAATTTCATATACTTTCTTGTCAAACTCATGTGACAACTAATAGGGGAAAAAAGTTACAATAATAAAAGGTATGACTCCAACACCATTACTTCCTCAAGGAAGAAACACTGCAGTCTGGTGTTCTGCTAAGGGTAGCTAATACAAATGTAATAGCCCTCACTAAATATAGTCTGAATCCAATACATTTTTAGCACGATCCAGTATAGTAAAGAGGAAAAACCTGGAAACAGGTTAAGCTGGTACCGACAAATCCTCCTATTCTTTTTCCAGACACTCTGTTTCAAAAACGTACTTTTTTTTTTTTTGTTTTCTTAAAAGCCACATGATTCAGAGTCCACCTTAATGCAGAAGTTAAAACATAAGACAATGGCATGGTAGGAAGCTGGCACACAGGTAGAAAAAGAGTGACTTCTTAAAAGGTTAAAGAATGACAAACTGTATTTGCTTAGTAAAAAGGTATGCCAGTTCTTAATAAATAAAGTGACAAACTTCTACTCTGAGTATCAATTTTAGGACTGACCATTAGGAGAGTGAGAAACACATGGTTAGCTAACATTTGCAATGAAGACATGCGTTTGTGTCTGAAAAGAGAATATTGCACTAAAAGAACAACCCTGAAGGCTTCAAACACTTCCTTCACTGACCTAAAAAAGTAACTAGCCATTTCCTATAAGCAGTAGCAAACCTGGCTTGGTCCGCATCTCTGCAAGTTGATAAAACTTTATCAATGAACCGGTATTCTGTTTCTGGCCCAAAAGAGTCCTGCAAAGGAGCACGCTTCAGCCGTTTTTTTTCTTGAGTATAACCTTGTTTGCAGATGGATTCACTCAAACCATCAACATCCATAGCTTGTGCCGTGTGACGTGTAGCAGGACAGGGGTGTGAATTACGAAAAGCTTCATCACTGCTGTCCACGGATGACACAACCGCACTCAGAAGAGGAAGTCTGTTGCCTAGGTGGTGCTGAAGGTAGAACACACGCCTTCTTCAGAGGAAAAGAAAGAAAAAAGGAAAAAAAAAGTCATACACTGAAAACAACACGCTCTTGCTCTTTATTTGCGTTATTTGCCACCCCACCACATTTTTCCACAAACACGCAGGACAGCTGCTTATTGAAAGCAGAAAGATTGTGATAACCTCAAGCTGAATGACTGTAAAGGAGCCATTGTACTTTGCTATGCCTATCTCAGTAATAAAATTTGCATTACCACCCAGCAAGTCATTCCTCATGCACCGTCAAAGAACATGTAAAGTTCACCTCTTTCCCTTGCAAATAGGTGTCACTGCACAAAATCTGCTGTCACGGTCAGACTGTACAAAACAAGTTCACCTGAGGCATGGTGCATTAGGTTACTTTATGCAGGAATGAAGATAAAGAGCACAGACAATGGAAAGGGACACATGCCTGTGTTGTAGCTGTGCCAAAGTTGAACAAAAAGACAGCTTCTGTATCTCCAGAATTATTTTAATCTAGGAACTTCACAGACATCATGCTTCATGTACGGATTCTCATATCTTGTCTGATCTCACTGTTACAGAGCCTAACTCTTTATCAAACTGTAGAAATTTCCATTTCTAGGAACTGGAAGTCCCCAGCACAGCCTCTCTGTTCAGCCTAGAGAAGACTTTTTGAAGAAAACAGCAGAAATTTAACTACAGAAAGCAACTGCTGTATACATATATTTGCATGTATGTAACAGCTGGTCTCCCTCAAACCCCACAAATGATCTTCTGTGATTACTAAACAGAAGGAATACAATCCCGTAAACATCTGATCTTGTATTTTAATAAGGGATTTTGTACTTAGGAAGGGTATCAGATCAACTCATACAGCATATATATCTTCAGTTCTCATTACTGTAACAGCACACATACAAATGGTGGTGTTTTGCCACTGTGCTTTCCAAGTGAGCCAGGCCTGCCAGGCAGTGCAGATAAAAACTAAAATCATATATATTCATTCATTTTGCTTAGCATATTAAAAAAAAAGTCTCAGTGTCACTTTGGCAAACCTGCTCTTACCTTGTTAGGCATATACATGCAGCTAGCAAAGCAGACGGTTTCTGTAGATGATCCTTCAGCCTATCTATTGCTACATCTTTTGCCCTTTATGCATTTTGTGTGCAATAAGACCAATTAATAGCATCTTGCATCTCTTACACAAACTATACGGACAGGCAGAGCTTAAGCCAACAAGAAATTTAACCCAATAAAATTTTCCATTCAAGACATGGTAGCTTAGAAATCTTCCATTGAGTAGTACCTTTTAAAATCAGAAAAACTACTTGTCTGGAAATATCAGGCAAAGAACAATCCAACAATCAGAAAGACACTCTTTTGACAAAGTCCTCTTACCTATGACACCACAAGGTTTCATGCCCTGGGTAAGCGTCGATCAGATCAGTGCAGAGATCCAACTCTTCCTCTAAATAGTGGGGGACATCCACGCTCTGCTCCTCCGCACAGGCAGCTTCTGCCCCTTCACCTTCTTCCTCCTTTTGAAGACTAGGGTTTTGCTCATTTACCATTTGATTTCGTACCAGTGTATTATCATCATTCACAGTCCTGCTTATCAAGGATTTGAGTAAGAACTGGCGATAATGAAATCCGCTGTGGTCTGAGACATGCATGGATACCCAATATTTAGTGGAAGCAAGTTCATCAAGGAGAATCTGAAACAAAAAGCAGCAACAGTCATAAACCAGTATAAAAGAGGAATTTACCACTATTGCTTCTGTGTTGAGGGCAACCCTCTCTTCTAGTGCTTTCATAGATTATGTCAGTGTGGTTTACCAACAAACACAGAAAAATGTGTTTAGTTTAAGAACAAACACATAAAAATGTTTAGTTTAAGAACAAACACAGAAAAATGAAAATAACCATAAGAACCTTTTCCATTGTGTGCTGACAGGTATTCCCCTAAAGAAATTATACTTATTCCAAACTCTGAAAAGGTAGGTGTCACAGCAATCCACAGGATCAGGAAAACAAAGAAACAAACAACAACAAAACACTTATGACAAGAAATAAGTAGTTCTTAAAACCTCAAAATGGCTAGGAATAAATACTAGGTAGAGGGTACATCAAACTACATTGATGTTATTCATTAGAATCATTTTAATTTTTGCCTAGTAAATGATGGGTATTTGAGATTAAAAAAGGAAAAAAGATTCAAAGTACACTTCAATTTTTCAAAACAGAATGCTGATCAGTAACATACTCTAAATCTTAGGGCTTACGGAATAGAAGACTATTTGTCTATAATTGAGATGCTTGACTTAACAGCTAATTGGTGAAGTCACAGAAAGGCTTTCAAAAGAACTTAAATTAATGATTGCAATTGTTCATATAACATAGCTGACACCTAAGAATTTTAATTTGTGGACTTTTTTTCATTTCTAGGTAGGTGAGTTTGGCTACTGGACAAAGCTTCTTTCACTTTATTTCCTTTTATTAGAAGAAATGTCTATGGCCATGCATTGCTCCCTCTCTGGAATTTAAACTCTCAAAGAACTTAAAGCTGTACCTTTTTCATTTATTTCTGAAGAACTGTATAAAACCTTACTGGTTTTAGAGCCTTAAACCCTCTTTCTAAGATACTTCCCCCATTTGAAAGGGCTGACTGATGCAAAGCAAGTTGCATAGGCACAAGTCTGTCTTTTTCCTCATGCAGCACAAGAGGCACAGCCTCCCAGAAATAAAACAAAAGATATACACAAAACTAGCAATACACCTCTTTTATGGTGCACCTACTCTAAAAGTCAAGAGAGCAAACACAAATAATGCAAAAAGCACCTTCTACCTGAGGTAGGTCTGGAAAAGACAGACCAGCAGCACCGTATAAATCAGCAGACTGAAATGCACTTTTAAATAATAGCGTTGATAAGGTCCATTCCTTGATGAGGATGGTAACCTCACAAATAGAGACATAAGCAAAGCAGAGACATTTAATGCCTTCTTCATCTCTGTCTTCAACACCAGTGATGGGCCCTGAGATCCCCAGAACCCCACACAGGAGGATCACACCTGTGTTAATGATACACTTCCAGCCAACCCCAACTTGTCTGGGATTTGCTGCTCCACATGGATGCATATAACTCTATGGGACCCAAAGGGATTCATCCCAGGGTACTCAGAGAGATGGTGGGTGTTTTCATGAGACCTCTGTTGATTGTTTTTTAATAGTCTTGAGAATCTGGAGAGGTCCCAGTCCCCTCAAAGTCCACTGAGAAAGGCAAGGAAGAAAACCCTGATAATTACCAGGGATGTCAATCTCACTTCAATGCCTGGTAAAACAATGGAGAAAATTATTCTGGGAGTTACTGAAAAACACTTCAAAGACAATGCAGTCATTGTAGCGCAGTAAACCCAACATGGGCTTATGAGGGGAAAGTCCTGTTTAATTAACGCAATTTCCTTGTATGACAAGGTTACCCACCTAGTTGAGCACGGGAAGTCACAAAATGTAGTCTTTCGGATTTCAGCAAAGATTTCAGTCCTGTTTCTCACAATAGGATTCAGGACTAAATGTCTAGCATACAACGAGACAAGAAGGTAGTAAGATGGGTGAACAACTGGCCAACGAGTTGGGCTGAAAGGGTTGTAGTGCATGGGGCTACATCAGGCTGTCTGACAGGCACTAGTAGGGTTCCCCAGGGCTCCATTCTGGGGCCAGTTCTCTTCAGTGTTTTCATAAATGACTAGCATATAGGGATCAAATACATACTATCAAAGTAAGTATATCAAATACTGGCAGCCAAAAAGGCCAACTCTGTACCTGGGGAACACCAGGCACAGCACTGCCAGCTGGTCAAGGGAAGGCATTGTCCTGCTCTGCTCTGCGCTGCTGCAGCCCCACCTTGATCTGTCTGCAGTTAGGGGTGCCACAGTACGAGAAGGACATAAAACTATCAGAGAGCCTCCAATGGAGTGCTACAAACATGGTGAAGGGTCTGGAGGGGAAGACGTATGAGGAGCAGCTGAGGCCCCTTGGTTTGTCCAGCCCCGAGCAGAGCAGGCTGAGGGGAGGCCTCGTGGCGGCCTGCAGCTCCCTCACGAGGGGAGCGGAGGGGCAGGCGCTGAGCTCTGCTCTCTGGGGACAGCGACAGGACCCGAGGGAACGGCATGGAGCTGGGACAGGGGAGGGTCAGGCTGGGGGTTAGGGAAAGGGTCTGCACCCAGAGGGTGGTCGGGCACTGGGACAGGCTGCCCAGGGCAGTGGTCATGGCACTGAGCCTGCTGGAGTTCAAGAAGCCTTTGGATAATGCTCTCAGACACATGGTCTGAGTTTTGGGTGGTCCTGTGTGAGGCCAGGAGTTGGATCCTCTTGGGCCCCTTCCAACTTGGGATATTCTGATTCATAAAGGCTTGGATTCTATTCCAGGCTTGGAATTCTCAATGGGGTTAATGGTCCCCATTCCCAGTTCTCCACTTTAAACTTGATTAATTTCTCTCTGTTCAGCTGAACTGAACTGAACTGATTTAAATTCCTGAACATTAAAAATTTAATATCCTATTAAAAACAACATAAGGTTTAATAGTGAAATCAGAAAAATCAGACCAGCCTTTATTCAGCTGCAACTGATACTAGGCACATTATGAAGAGTTTATATCTCAGGTTAATCTGATTAATTTAACTGACACGTTCATGAGCTACAAAGATACAGGGGAACATTATAATCGGATATTTTACTTCCTCAAATAATGCAGACTAAACAAAATGATTCCTAGCATCATTCCTTATCTGAAAGAGAAAATCTTGTTCAGAAAAAGCAAGACTGAAGAGCTCTATTAAACCTCTTGAGATCTACAACAAAACTAAGGGTGTCTCTTCCAGGAACATCAGAGTAACAGTGGAAGATCCTTCAAACAACTGAAGGTGTTTTGTTTTGTTATGTTTTTCCTCCCAGATTAATTTTAGCTGGGAATTTTTCTTAACAACTTAATTTTCTCTATTTCAACACCAAACAGAGCAAGTCCTTTGCCACTCTGTGGAAATAACATGAAAACACCTCCCCCTCCGTTCTTGAAAACCTCTTTTATCTTATAGGGTAAGCCGAGTACAATGGAATTGGCACCCTGCTCCAGAACAGGACGCACATGCCGACCTTTGCCTCAACCTCTGGGTTTGCACTCCCTTTTACACCCTCCCTGACCCTCTTCTTTCTTTTTTAATGTGCTTACCAACCATAAAATGCAGCTCAAAACTTCCTCCTTGGTCTGGTACACTGGGGAAATGAAAGGGGACTGTGTCTGGGGAAAAAACTTCCTAACAACCACTGCATAAAATGCCAACGTCCTCTCACACACAAGACAGGCATTTTTGGAGTTTCAGTCATCTAAGGAAAAGCCAAGGCCTTACTGGGGATGACTACAGGAAAAAAATATTTTGTGTGTTTTTATTTTTATTTTTAACTATATGACCTGAACAGTCACTCTCCACCCTCTAATTACAACGTTGATTATTTCTGTCTAAAGAAAATTCAAATTTGTCCACTGTTCCTAAAAAATATCCTATTTTTGTCCTTGCACACTAATGCACTGTGATGGGTTTGAATTTTAACAGACTATACTGATACTACTCTCTTACACTTGTTCTCCAACTAATTACACACTCGTCTATTACTAGCTGCTTGGAGTAAATGTTTTTCCCCATTAGCTAATTGCACCGTCAAGGGAAAAAACTGAAGTCAAGCCTTCTCCTCCTTTTCTGAGTTATGTATTCCAATACCAGAAAGATAAGATGGGCTTGGAACAATCTGTTCTTGAAAGATCTGTAATTAATATTAATGAAGACTATTAAAATACACTGTAAACTTGCTACTATGATTGAAGTTCTGCAGGAAAAACAAGCAGATTTCTATATTCAAACAAAATATTTTTTAATGTCTAGTGCAAGAATAAAGACATATCCATATTTTGTGCGAATATCGTCTTAAGAGGTTCAAACTTTCCTCTCTAGTATTTCATATATTTTTTCCTGAGCTTGAATTGAATTTCAGCCTGCAGAATGATTAGGTTTACAAAAACAAAGGTAAAAAAGAAAAAAACACCAAACAGCCTCCAGCCCCCAAAACCTCCAAAGTTAGCCAACATAAATTCATAAATGATAAGTTGGTTTTGCAAAGTATTATTTCAGTGATACTACAACATACACATTATATTTCTGGGAATCTATTTTCTGTCCACTGTATTAAGAACAACCTAATACTACTGGCAAAGTTTTCACCACAGCAGAAATATGGAACTAAATAAAACAGTGTCCTCTAACTTGAGGCAATCTAGCAAGAAATAAATGGCTGAAGAACCACAATATCTGTTTTATCTGCTGTTTTTTCTGCACAGTTTCAGCCCCCAATCTCAATGAAATTTATCATTCTTAAGCACACAACTGGCTGAACATATACATGTAAAATGAGACCTCAGGCAAGAAAAAAACACATTTATATTGTAAAATTCTGTAACATCCACATTTACCCTGTTCTTTTTTTTTCCTCACTCTCATGACACATCTTGCAAATAATCACTTTCTAATTCTACATTTTAAATCTACATAGATACAAACTGTATCTCAAGATTCTTTGTATCTTTCTTGTTCCACATCTTCCTAATTTTCTTGCATCTGAAACATCTAATGCTAGGCCATCTAAAGAGTACAGTCTCTGAAGAGAGCATCAGTGCTGCCATGAAAAATACCTAGATTCAGTATGGGGATTTTCCCAGTGGGTTAAGCCCACTTAGATGATCAGCAGCCCTGGTGAAATTTTGCCAATGGCTATGAAAGCCAGTTGGACAAAACCAGAGAAAACTATCACTTCCTTAGTAACAAGGCTAAAGAGAAGACCAATAGGGAAACTGGGATGGCTGCCAAAGCAAATAGAGTTGGGAGTGATCTAACAGATTTAAGCATTTTCCTCCACTGGCACACTTGTGACTTGTCACACAAAACATTGACAACTGCCAATGAATAAAACCACCACAAAAATTCCAACTCTGAGAAGAATTCTAGCAAGACGCAACTACCTGAGTTTATTTTGATTATTAAGAAAAAGCAGGTGCAAAAAAACATTCAAGGTTTTAACCCAATCTTTTAACCCAAACTACTGTCAAATAAAGCATAAAATTACTGAGTCTTAATTAATAGTGTTAACAATTTTTGCCTCCTTCTCCCCCAAGCTTTAAAAAAAGCTATCAAAGATTTACGTGAAAGTGCCTATTTCCTATTATTTCTTTAACCTTAATTTCTAACCTCCAGGCTATCCCAATCCCGTATCACTGATCTTTCCATACCTATCTTTTCACATCTTACTTGGTAATTCTGTGTTGTCTCCCTCAAGGAACCTGGCACATACTTGCTATCTACTACTGATCTGACACAGCTATTTTTAATTTTTCTCAGGTGACAACAGGAAATGAGCAAAACAACATCCACTGCTAGCAATAGCTGGCCCATAAGACTTAACAGTAAGAGTTCTACAGACTCAACCTCCATCTCTAAATTCCACCCTTACTTCTGCTACAGATTTACAGCAAAATACTGTGAGTGCTGTTAGAAATGCAAATGATGTGTCGCTGTATCTGCCTACAATTCACAGTCAATTCACCTATCATTTTAGGAACCACAATATTACAAAACCACCCATATAATTTTAGATCTTGTCACATTGAATTAATTCAATTTTCCATAGGTCTCAAAGTTTTAAATACTACCATGTGCTATTAAATATTCACCACCATGCAATACTGCTGGAGCTGGAATGGCCTGATAGATGCCAAAAGCATAGCTGCCAAAAAATGCTGTTGGAGTTAAGAAACTAGCTATCAGAACTACTATATGTTCTCTGTAATTCCTGCTGTCTTAATACATCAATACTCTGACCTGATAGAGAAGCAGAGTAAGTGTAGGAAAATAAGACATCATGTTACACTATCATAATAATATCCATCGTGTGTTGTCTTTTTATTCTATTAGGAAATTCAAGATTTGTGTTATGAAACACTTTTTGTTCCTTCTTTGTTTTAGCTCACGTAGTCCTACCTATCCTCTACCTGTTCACCAACACTAAATACCAACAGACAAACAGAACGTCGTACATGGGCAGGAAAAATCTGTTCCTTCTGCAGAGCATAACTTGACTATGCTGGCAAGAAAAATGCAAACCAGTATGTATTGCAATGTTTTGCCTGTTTTTTTAAGAACATGCTCAGCTGTCTATACTCACTTAATATGACACTATCCACCCGTATCAGAGGATCTTCTTGGCAAAATATATATATTTTTTTAAACAAGGAAATTTAAGACTTTATTCACTATTGCAGTATACCTTGACAGTCAGCTTTCCCACATGCTGTAAAACCCAGATGCGATGGGACCAGGCATTGTAGTTACTTGGGTATCTCCCAGCAGCTTCAGAGCAGACATCCATTTCCTCCTGCACTAGTCGATGAATTCTCTCCACAGGTGCTGCTCCCAAGTTTCCTTTATTCACAAGAGTGGGCAAGGAGTTTTCCTGAATTAGATGTTGCAGCACCCATCGTCTGGTTAAACGATGTACAGTGTTAATGATGAGAGACTAATTTTTAGAGAAAAACAATTTTTTGCATTTATATAAATCAATCAAGCTTTTCTGAGATTTCCATTATCTGAACTATGCTGTAATTAGAGGCTGAATAAGAAAACGTAGCAAACGCAACCATCTGAACTGCTCCCAAACTGAGAGCTGTAACTTTATGATCACATTCCAATATAATTTAACTTTAGCTGTATTTGTTTGTTTGCTTACTGTAAGTAGCCTTGGCTACTTACAGCATACAGGAAGAAAACAAAAAGAAACAACAAATAAGGAAAACAATTCAAGGTCTGCACATGATTTCTCACAAGTTCCTTTCAGAGGCTTGTATAGCACTAAAATAAAGTTTAAAAAATTAGGCAGAAAAATGTGACTCAATAGAGATATTAACTGTGCTTCATGTGTGTTTTTTACACTTCTCAATACTGCACATTGCAAGCAAAATTAATTTCTGTACATCATCAGCAGAAAGAAAATGCAAAAGACTGAATGTTTCAGTGACTATGGGCTTAACTGAAACAAATGTCTTTCCTATCAAATAATACATATTTGATCTGAAGTCTCTGAGACATGTACAGACTCCCACATGGCTTTTCAATTTTATTTTGGACTGGCTTTTGTAGTATTTTTAGATGAGGATTGTATTTTGAGAGGTGTCCTCAGTGCTACAGAAAATGTACATCTGCAGGCTCTACAGAGAACTGAAAATTATGGCAGATATCTGTGCAGCAGCAAGTGTCAAGAGAATGCCAGTGAGAACACATGGTCTGGAAATGGTCTGGAAAGCTGGACATATTTCAGTTTGTGCAGTGGATTTTTTCTATTTTGTACTGACTCATATCAGTCTCAAAAGCAATTAATAATTATTTCATGACAGTGTCAGCTAAAAAAATAAAAATTGAGAATTCTCCCTTGCAGTTCCATCATACATAAAATAGCAGCTGTAAAAAAAAGATAATACTCAGAAAAAAAAAAGAGTAATCCGTTTGCTTTTTGTCTCATTTGAAGAATGTTTATAACATTCTTATTCATTGATATTTATTTAAACCATGCCTTTTTCTTAGTTATTTTTTAAAAAAAGATTTAAGCTACTGGAAGACAAAATGAACAATTGTAATCTGAACATTACCATCTACTATTTTTTTAAACTTCAGTCACCATATATGCAAGAAATGGGAAAATCTCATTCTCGAAACTACCTTTTTATTCTGAGCAAACAAGAAAGAACAACAAATTATAACACTAATAAAAATATTCCTAATTTAAGATTGCATTAAAGTTGGAGATAGACATTTTCATTATTTCTAAGATGTAAATAAATACTAAGAACCTTACAACTTAGCTTGTAGTCAAACTTCTGACTAGTTTCATAAAAGTATGTTGGTCCATATAACAATATGCATGGCACCAAGCTCAACATTAGTTACATGCTAAAATTTGTTTTCTACTGCTAGTTACCACATAGGAAAGGCTAAACCATGACAAACTGCAGGGTGTTCTTCCATTATTTCTATGCAATCCTTTTGCTTCAAACAAAGCAATCACGCAGCATGAGTAGTCAGAATGAAGATGCTGAAAAGCCATTGAAGGGTAACAAAATTAAAAATCAACACTGCAGAAACTCATTAATGTTGTTGCTAAATCAATACCACTAAGATAGAAAATAACAGAAACTAAGTGAGGTAATAATACCCTATAAAGTGAGTAACACCTAGTAATAGTCCATGTATTGCATTCTATGTAAACTTCCAGAATTTTGAGCACATCCACTAAACTCAAAAAGATGAATTTACCAACAACACCCTAATCCCAAAATTCATGTTATCTTTAAGACTGAAACTTGTGTATGTTTTTGATAGAATATGAATCCCCTCATAGGATATTAACTTCACGGTTATCCCAATACTGGGCATGTGAAATACAAACATTATGAACTGCTTTCTAATGTTTTCCATTCAAATCTCTTAAAAATTGTCTGTAAAAGGATGAATAAAAATGTAAAAAAAATATATATATATAAAAAAAACCACACATACCAAGAAATTTTATCACAAAATTGAGCAATGTGTCTATACTTCACTCAGCTGTGCTACAGGAATTTTACATACACTCAGTCATGACTAAAATAGTTAGCTCTGTGTTTCAGTAATTCTGGAGTTACATTTTTCAAAAATGTGGTCTAGGTTTTAATATTTAGCATTGGTGATTTAATGGCATTGTGTAAATTAGAAATGATAAAAACATATTCACCAAACCAAAAAAGACTAGCAAAGGAAAAGAAGACAACTTTAGTTACAGAGATTAGCTTTTATATATTCTTCTCTTTCCAAAGTGTCTGTGGACAAACAATAGAGTTACAAGTTGGGGGGGCTAGGGGACAGTAACCCACAATGCTCAAATAGTTACTATTGGAAACAAAATTCTCAGGATGATCATTTTAGGTCCTGCAAGACATGATAAACCCTTAGGAAAAATGATCCCATCTCCAAAGCTCATTAAAAAATATGACATACATTGGCAGATGATTGTATATTTTGTGTATATCATGTGGCATATGATTGTAGTTCTAAGTGTAGAATAAGGGAAGCATCTTCAAAAGCTAAAGCACTGAATTTACTGAATTTTACAGTGACTGGCTCAAAGAATCTGCTGTATTTCTAGTTGTCCTCTTCCATCCAGCACTCTGCTTAACTCACTCGCAGAAGAAAACAAAACAAAACAAAAACACCTAGGAAGAGTGTTTAAGTTTGGGAAAGCAACAGAAAGCAAGGGACACAAACCTATGAATCCACGTTTCTGGACTCTTTGGAAACTTGGTTAACGCCAGTTTTCCAAGATGCAAATCTTTAAGTGGATTTAAAGTGCCAGATAGTATTAATTCTTTCCTACAAAAGATAAAATAAATTTGTATGAATAAAAGATGTAACCTGAAAACAAAACGCAAATCCCAACAACAAACAGCATGGCATTTTGTTTGCATTAAAGTACAATTTCACTGTCAAATTCAAAGGCTTTGGTGGATTGACCCATTCCACTTGGTTATATATGGGCATCACTATTCAGCCAGGCCCAACAAAATAAATCCAAATCAAATAAGTTTATCTTAATACATTCTATCTGTTGGTTCCCAATTCTAACAACCACCAACAAAAAACACTGAAACAACTGTATTTTTGGGTGTGGCCTCTATCACATTTTCTGTTACTAATCAGAAAGCCAAGGAGTTTGGGCTACATATAATGCCTATTAACAGTAATGTTGCTTTTATCTGCACACTCTAGAAGAGTATTAATAACATAAGTTGCTTCTTTTTATTTTGATTCAAGGACTGCCAATAGAGTTACCTTTCTTGAAATTAGGCCTTCAGATTATTTTGTATATCTGAAAATATAGTCACTCTTCCACACAGCTTCCCCCCCCCCATCTTATTTTCACACGCAATTTTTAAATATGTCTCAAGATACAGTATCACTGATTCCTAAATTTAGAAGGAAGGGAGGAATATTCTCTGTGTGTAAAATATTTTTCAAACTCACCAGAAAGGCAGAAATCACTACATTTATTCATAGATAAAACACCTTCTAGTTGAAAAAAAAAAAAAAAAAAAAGAATTTACCCTAACAAAACTTACTGTTCAGCTAACAAAAGCCTTCCCAGAACACCCCTTCAACAGATATAGCAGAGTGAAAGTCTGTATTTTACTTTTTTTGCCTTCTTTGCACAGAATTCCCTGCTCCACACCCTGTTTGCCTTTCCAGATTTACAACTCTTCCTGCCCCTCTCAAGCATGTTTGTAGACATCACCCTGTCACTGGTTACTCCAAGAACATTAGCTTCCATCTCCTATTCTCCAATCTACTTATTAGATAGCTGCTTTGAAGTTAAGATACGGTATGATCCAAAATTGCCATTTGATTTCAGGAAACATGCCTCTTCCAGAACATCAGCGTGCATAAAGCTGTAGCAATTTTGGCTTTTTGTTCATTTGTTTGTTTTTAAACGATGTTGTTTATCACAATCATATGCGTGGCACCAGGTTAAGCAAGAGGAGTGATAGTCGGCGAAGGGCATAGGAAAAAAAAAAGCAAACAAAAAAATCCTGGTGGGATGGGAAAGAAATACACTATGAAAACAACTCCTACGTACCAAGTAAAACATCTCTGTGGTGTGAAACAGAACATAGCATGGCAACACCGTGGCAGGTGGAAGAACTAGTCTATTATTGCTATGCAAAAGGTGACATTTTGGTAAAAAGCATGTACACGGACAGAGAAAGAGCAGTTTAGATCAGTCCAGCATTAAAAAAAAAAAAAAGCAACATGTACAGGTTTAGATTAGATATGGATTACCAGGACAGCAACCTTCCAAGATGTAGACTCCTCATGGGGATATTGCCCTTTCTATCCTAAAGTATTAACTGTAAATAAATAGGCTCAAACATATTTACTCTTAAATTTGTTCTGAGTTTTGCAAAGTTGAGGAACATCACAGGCAAGATTTAAATTTTCTGCTGTGGTAGAAAAACAGTTTTTAGCTTCACAGATTTACATTCAAGAGATACCCTCATTCATAAGTAAGCGACTTAAACCATAGGTATGACTACATTAATATAAACTCCAAATAAACCTCTTTCAGTCTCTTTAAGCAAATACCAGATTTAGGATATACAACTTCCAGCTCACTTTTTGCCACATGAACCATTGTTAGCCCTTCAGCCTTCAGAATTCTAGTTCCCGTAAGAGAGAATCTGAAATGCTTTTCACTTGCCTCATGCTTTAATGACATCTTTGAAGTCACTGATATCTCATGGGAAAATATTTGAACTTTCAGAGCTTCTTGTTATCTGATGCCTTTTGACATTTGATCAATCATACATGTAAGCAACGATATCAACAACAATGATGCCTATGACAATTTCTTTCGTAATAACTTACAGATTTTGGTCATAGTAGCTTGAAAGATTTTTCAACTCATAAAAACATAAAGCAAGTTATGATTAGTAACTGCAAATGCCTCGTTGCTCATTCTGTATGACAGGAATTTCCCTCTGAGTTCTAAGAAATGACACATCTCCTTTATCATGCGTTCCTACACCACACAATTGGCTCTCAATCAGTTCTCCCTGCTTAGGTTATAGGCTCTGCCATTCTGTAGCTTCCCAGTTTCTTCTAATGAAAATAAATAAATAAAAAAAATAACCTGTGCAGGCACATTACGCTGTTTCGAATAGCTCCAAAGTCAGGACAGACATATTATATTACCTGTTCTAGCAGATAGCATATTTAAAGCTTTATGTTCCCCTGTGCTTCACTAACGACATACAATTTTCTTTGATGGTCATTTGAACTCAAATACACATTAGCCTTCCACATCACCACTTGTCTTCTTGCTCTGCCAAGTCCTGTCTCCTCTCCAAGGAAGTGATTTCCTTTTCCTACTCTCAAACAACCACATTCTCTCCACATTCAGTGCTGTTGGGTCAATCACTACCTCTGAAGCTCTCAGCAGAGAATACAATGTAGGAAACGTATTATCTCAGCCTAAAATGATAAACTTATTAGATTGTACACAAAGTACTCTGCAAAAAGGGCTGCTATTCAGTAAATAACTCTTATTCTTTTTATTTTAGGCTTCTCAGAATCTATGATGCTTTTTTTCCTCTCCAAATAAAACAGGGAATTTGTGTGTCAAGAGCATACGATGAATCTGGCACAAAAAACATCCTCTGCAAGATGAAAACAATCATCCCACGGCCGATCCATCATGTTCTGCAAGCAGAGTGCAAGTCCCACACAATTAGTTCCCTGCCTATAATAATCCACAGTACAAATTTATCTCCGGTATCTGTGCAGAACATAGCCTGTCTTCTACTCTGTGACCACATATATCATCCATGTCTGCCTGCCTTGATCTGTAGTATGCTGAGATCGGAACCACACAGCATAGTAGGGAGGCTGAAGTGATGTGCTTTGGTTTGGGTTGTGCCATTGAGTGCCTACCCTTTGAAAGGGCCAATGCCCACCAGCAGCCTAAACCAAGGCAGGTGTAGATTTGGCACATCAGAACCCCATCTAGAGCACTCAGAGGCAAATCCCTCAGCTACTGAATGGCTGGAATGACATCAGCCTCTCTCTGAGTGAGACACAGTGTTTCAAAGACAAACCACCAACCAGGCCACCCCGCCAAAAATCAGAGGAGGACAGACATCCTCTCGAGTTTTTTGCACACTGAGGTAAACCATAAAGGCCATAAAAGAGACAATCTTCACCTACGTTCCTTAATGTTGTTATTCCATTTGCAATTTTAAACTACCCCTCTCGTCTATGTCCAAACGAACTCTTTCAGCTGTCAGGCAGAAAAAAATGCACAGACTGTTAAGGATAGATGCATTTGCATCAAAAAAAAAAGACAAAGCAAAAACCTGAATTCAGTTTTATGTACAACAACATTACATTACTCTAATAGCTCTAGTGTTTATACATGCTGATAACTCCATTTTGTTACTTGACAGCTACTTGGAGGTATACATTTTCAAGACAGTAAGCCCTTTGCTACCACTTCCACCTGCCTTTCTTACATCCAAGATGCTAGAGAGTGACAGATCCCAGCAGAATCCTCCAGAACTGTATCACCAGTTAAAAAACATATATATATATATATATATATATATATATATATATATATATGAATTTGTGATATATAGGGCTGACAGCAACCCACAGCTTTCTAGGTCATTTTGTTCATTTTTTCCTACTGAAATTGAACTACTACTTTTGTTTAACAACAAAAAGTGTTTTTGATTTTCTTTTCTTGTTTTAAACAAGAGCCCTCCTAGACACTAACAACTTCCTGGCAGCCCTCTAACCACTCTTAAATTATTCCTTTTAGACTGTGTCATATCTTACCTGGGATGCAGAAAAATATTCTCCCACCTGCAGGATTTACACAAAAATTATCTGCTTCACAACACTATGAATACAACTTCCTCCCCTTCTCTTGCAGTATATTAAGGGCTATTCAGCTTTGACAAGCTGCACTGGTAGTGGTACTAAATTGATCAGTTTGCTCAAAAGGACTCAGGTATAATATTGAACGAATGGTAAAATGGGAACAATGAAATCAGACAGCAGACATCAGTTGGGTGCTATGCGATTCAGCAAAAAGGATACGTCCATCTAAGTTTACAACTCAGTTGAAGCCTGCCTCAACTGATGGACAAAAAGAGAAGTGGCAGTTCGAATGGGACTCCCATCCAAAAAAAAAAGGGGGGGGGCCTAACTCCTGTATTCACGCGCAGCAGCGTAAACTTTGTCTGTATGAAACAAACAAAAACCAAAACCAGTATGAAATTATCTGTGAGGCATACAGGATAAAAGAGATGTTCAACATTCCTTCAGCACTCCTTCGCTGAGAAGCTGTTGCTGTGTCATTAATTACCACTTAAAGCGGAGCTTATGGCTGACTTGCATATTCAGGCCCAGGTCTTTCTGATGTCATTTGCTCAGGGCAACCTACCTCACGTTCCAAGCCGTGGTGAAGTCTGGGTTCAGTAGCAGCAGTGTACACGTGATATCCACCAGCTCTAAAATGAGTATAAGAAAAAGAAAACACAAAAATTAGCAATGGTTCACAAAGAGCAGTGGTCTTTCTGAATCCCTTTAGCCCCCACCTCTTCCCTTCTTAACATCTTCACTCCCATGGCTGCTACATCTATGGATGCCTGCCTCTGCAAAACGCTGCTATATCTCATTCCAGAAAAAAAAAAAAAAAAGACAGCTTAATTTAAAAGGGAGCAAAATCAGCCATATCTTCCCTTTTGGCTATTTGAAATAGTGGACTTCTATATTGTTAACCACTCTTATCTAAGAAGTCTGCAGCTGGGAATTTCTGACTGCTACCTGTTTATCTATCTAGACAGATGGTATACATACATACGAATAGATAGACATACAGATATATCTACATAGAGATATAAATAACTAGATGGACAGATTCAAACACATCATATGCTCTCAGAGATGGACAGGAAAATTACTTAATTTATATTTTAACCAAGATGTTTCTCAGAGAGGTCAGTTGTTATTTAACTGTGTGAAAAAGTGGAATAGCTTTGTTTATAACTGCATACCTACTTGTTCACTTATGTCTGACAGAGCAAGTTTGTGCTCCTCATGAGCTCCTGCCTATAAGTTATAATTTTGAATTGACAATTTTGAACTGAGCTGTTAACGGTGACATTTTAAAAATTACATTAAAGAATTAAGCTGAATTTGTTTTTTCATGTTTCTCTTTTTTGCCCTTTTGTTTTGTTTTTGTTTTTGACTTTAATGACATTTTTTTTTGTTTAAAGACCTATTTGTTGCTGGGGCATGAAGCACACCTATGATGTGCAACCACTTTTCTTTATATGATGCCTAAATGTACACAGCTTTTTCTTTGACTTATTCAATCTCTGAGACAGCAAAGTACTTCAACACCTATTTAACACCTATTTAATTTTACACGGATAAATTGCCAGTGTCCACAATAAAATATTCAGGATTACTCACATATGTAAAATTTAACACCTAGTAAGTGTTTTGCTGGCTATGGTTTTAATTGTACACTCAAAAAGTCGCATTGGCAACACTCAGCAAATCAAAAGCAGATGTATAAGAAACATGAAGTAAAATTGTGAGCTATGGTCGTTTCATTTACACTTTCCATTTAACCTTCTTAATATATCAGCAGTTATTCTACCTTTTACAAAAGTCTATAGATTGTACGTGTCATCAATATGCACATTTAAACACTAATTATTCTGTTATTATTACCTTGAGTCATAAACAATACTAACATATAGTAACACACTTCCTGCCTTCCAAAATGCAATGGGTCAACAGCTAATAATCACTTCCCACTATGTTATGCAAGGTAACATAAATCTTCTTTATGTCAAATTCACATACCTCCTATAGGGCAACTGAGAGCTTCTTGAAGGAAAAAATCCAGCAATTACTACCTTTGCTGCTAAACACAACCCAACGCTAAAAACCAAAAATGGTTCTCCTATATTTAAGTAACTGCATTGTTACTCTGTTCAACCAACCTTCTCCCCAGCTGGTGTTTATTAAATACAACAACACAAACAGAAAAGAAGGAACCCCATACAAAATGTTAGTATTTGCTTTTCCCCTAGACATGAGCCACATCCATCTTAGTCTTGCCTTCTATTTAAACTAAACTGCCAGCAGATTGCTGGCGTAGTACAATTTTTAAAACATATCGTGAAGAGTTTCAACCGCCAGATCTAGGTTGACTGACACTTATCATGCATTTCATTTTCAGCTGCTTATCACTTTGCAAACAAGTCTGCAGGCTGTATCTAAAGGGTCCAATGCTTCTGCTCAATCACAGAAGTGTCAAGGCACCAGGACTGCGCAATAAGGAGATCTGCCTTCAGGACCTTTTTTATTTGCTATAGGAGGAAAAGGTATTTGCTATAGAAGTGAAAGGTAAATGGGACTGCAAAATGTGTGATAAGATGAAACTGAGAGAAACAACAGAGTACTGTGACAAAAGACATCATTACAGACTGCTGAACTTGGACATTAAAAAGTCTGAACTTTTTAGGGTTGAATTTTATTAATTGTTTTAGTAATTATTAGGTACCATCATTATATAGTCTATGACATATAGGATATGTTAAATGAAGTTTATTACAGCCTATATCGATCATTTAAGAAACAGTTTTCAGAGACTACATAACTCCACGTAGAAGAATATAGATCGTTTGTCCTACAGTCATGATTTCACATTAATGTTATTATTCTGGTATTGCCCAAGGTTTGAAACAGCACCAAGACATGCACAATTTAAGCACTAGCTTATCTAACATTTTGTTTTACAGAAGTGTTTGGAAAAAAAAAATTAAAAATCACCGTATCCTGAACATAATCAAAGGAAAGAAGCAGACAAAAGGAAAGTCTCCAAGCAATAACCATTTCTTTCAGTCCAATTTACTTTGACATTTGCTGTAACAAACAGCAGATGTAGATTTCACGAAATACGAATTCTGAGCCAGAGATGTCAAATGACACAATTTTAGTAACCTCTGAGTTTTTCCATGCAATGTCATGTGACAGATCTGGCACACATAGGTAGGAGTTGCCAGATAGTTCTCTTTGTGTCAATAACAAAACTCAACATGTCTTTTATTTAAAATTTTAAAAGCACTTTCTGCTGGATACATTTTAATCAAAATACAGCATCACAGATGCTCACAAAATAGGTATCATTCTGTACATTAAAAGCTTCCTCAGATGCAAGAGGGCAACAATGACTGTATATTTTTAGCTTGTTTTCTTTTCAAATATGACTGTATCCAGATTTTTATTTCTGTACATGTATCACACTAATGAGCTTTTCAGAAGAAAAAAAAAAAAAAGATTCCACTGTTTTAGAAGAAAAGAAATTAGAAGAATTTAGAAGAAAAAATTCCACTGCTTTAGAAGTGGACTTGCAGGTTTATGGGAAGTAAGGATATTCTGGGAATGTTCACAATGATACTCTGAATAAGGAGAAGATATGTAGCGATTTCAGACAACTGTCTTGTTGATGTGCACAAATAATATACATGCATATATTAAAACAATTTGGAGAAAGGATAAAAACATATTATCAAACTGGGACTTCTAAACTAGAACAATAGCAAAAAGTACTCTTGATCCTGGATCCCAGAAAACATTCAAGCTTTCAAAAGAAGCCATGATAAAATTAAACATCTCTCAGTAAGTTATTAAGGACTGGCTTCTTCTAGGATCCTGCCAGAAGAGTATCAGATGAAATCATACACCTTAATCGGGACCCTGTTCTTCTTCGTTCTACCTAAAACGGCTTATGGTAATTCAGACAACACAGAAGAGGTAACGGGAGACTGTATTTGCAACCACTGTTTATTACAAATAGCAGTAGAACACCCAATTGGGTTTGCAGCAGCAATAAATTTATACTTTCACTATGTTCAAAAGAAAACAGCTACCTTGCCAAATTCTCACTATGAAGTCTTACCTACAAAAAAGAATTCAGAAGGAAATCCTTGAGGATATTACATTTCAAATGTACAGAAAAGGTAATGTCTCTTGATACTGTATGACTACTTAACCTATGTTAAAAACAATTGTGTAGGTCCGTCTGGGAAAGACTTCTACCTTCATTTCCTCCATCACTGTAGTTCAGTTTCCACTAGAATTTCCTATCGAACATGAGACTCTTTTAAGGGCACAGCATGCTAAATGCTGTAAGCTGGACATTGCTTCTAAACGTGCTACTAACAAGGTGAGGTCCTGGTCATGGTTTACAGGAGTTGCTCAGAAGACATGAAAATACGGTCGGTCATCTCTTCTCAAACACATGACATTGGCTTTCATAATTAAAGAAACAAAGGAGAAGGGAGTTACTCTTCAAAGGAAGAAAATCAAACAAGATTCAATAGACAAACAGGTACTTATATAAACTTCCCCTGTTTTCTGATGCATAATTTTGGCCTGTGTTTTCAGAGAAGAGATTCTGAGATGCTTCATCTGTGAGGAAAGTAGGGACGCTTTCTGAACAGTCAGAACTCCCTTGCCATTCCTGCTGGACAGACAGGAATGCACCAGACAGACGGTGTCACCACAAGAAAGCACAAGAACCTGCCTAAAAGGAGCAGTGTGCCAGTAAGTTTGAATCCAACTGAGAGAAACATACAGGAAGAAAAATTTTTAAGCTGACTGCCATTTAGAAGAGACCTAAAGCCATAAACAGAAAAATTAGTTTCCTAAACTACAGCTACCCTTTTTCATTCTTGTTTTAAACAGAGTAAGTTACTTTGTAAAGAGTCAAATATCCCATGTCACACTTGCTTATAAATCTTTAAAAAAAATATTTAAAAAAAAAACACCACACACTCAAAATAGACAATATACAGAAAAGTATTTTTCATGCAAGTAAAACAAATTAAAAAACAGAACAACAATAACAAAAAAAGGAAAAAGGGAATAGAGTTTTACAATTACCAAGTTGTTTGGACACATGATTCCTGGTACCCCTAAGTCCAAAAAACACTGCACTTCTTTCTTACTTCAAATCCACACATCTCCATAACTGCCCTTCTGTCTCAGGGCATACTTCCTTCTGCACACAGAAATGGGAATAACTCACTTCCCTCTCAACCTTCCAATGTGGCAAGAGAGGAAGGATTTGCATTGTCAACCAAGCAGCAATACAACTTGTTCGTGTCACCATGAAGCACAACATAAAGCCTGAGCATTGCACTCAATTCTTTCAGAGCAGGTTAGGCTGCCTTCAAGAAGGGGCAGTGTAGCGTCCAAAAAAGGTAAATAAAAATGTGTGTTAAAATCAGGTAAAATACTATTCTACATCTGGGTAGCTTACCATCTTTGTTCAGCCATTGTTTTCTTTGTCTGTAGAGTAGAAGTTTATTGTGGACATATGGCAAAAGAAACTTGACGCACCAGCTCTCCACACCAAGCTTGTTTTCTACGAGGACTATAGGGCTCCGGTTATATCTGGCTTCAGGACAGGGTATTAATCCTATTTCATCTCTTTAAAAACAAACAAACAAACAAACAGAAAGAAATATAATTAAACTTACTTGCAGTATTTGCCAATTATTTTTCTCAAAAAGCAGTGCTCCCTGCCAGTTCATCACCTTTTTCCCTGACGTTACAGAAGTCTGTGCTCATTATTCTCAACTCACCCTCTTGTTTCTTCCTAGACTTCAGGTATGATAAAATGTGTTTTGAGAAAGCCATCCTCTGCACCAAATTGCAGCAAATTAACTCAGTAATAAGTGATTCAAACACGTTTTAAAGTGCAAATAAAGATTTAAGTTGAGGGGGGAAAGAAAAAAAGCCTAAACATATTTTATCACCACACAATTTATTCAGACACAATATAAAAGCTAGCTGTGGTTTTGGTTAAGTGCCTCTACAAAATTTTATTTTAGCTCCCCAGTGCAGTAGCAACAGAAAAACAGGAACACTTCAAGACATGCTGAACAGCCTCAATGTAATGTTCATCCATGACTGGATGAACAAGAATGAATTCAAAATCTTTAAAATGCTATCTAAGAAGATTCCTTCTGGTGATTCTGGCTTTTCTGAACATACCCAGAAAAGTTACACCAGGTTTTCTCAAAAATCTTGAATGGGCAAGGTCCCTGCTTTGTATTTTCACAGTACCAACATTAACCAAGCCTCTAGAAAAAAAATCAAATAAATAAAACATGGGCACAAAAATTCATACCAGCAAACACAGCAGCAGCATCAGAAGCTTTTTAGTTTCAAGGGGCGATATAATTTTTCCTTTTTCCTCAGCTTTTAGTGTGCATGAGTGTTGGAAGAGTGGTCGTAACAGCTTCTTAAAAACAAACAAGACTGTCAATTATTCACACTCACCTGGACCAAAAGCAATATTATTATATACTTGCTATTATGAATGATTTTGCCTTTATGCCCTGTTTCATAGAAAAATGTCTGTTGCTGAGAAGGGAGCTCCTCAGGTCTCAGGCAAGAAAAAAAAAAAATCTGCTGTGGTTTTCAGAACCACCTTAAATTTTCTCAGTACAAGGCCTACATATACGCTCCAACCCTGTAACCTCAACTCAGTTACCTTAAACTAATTTTGTTACTGGATAATCTGAATGCGCTGATTTAGTTCAGTGTCTAAAAGCAAAAGTGACACCACGAGCTTGTTAAAGAACAAGTATATCTGCTTTTTCAGGAAACTGATTTGTTCTGTCAGACTGCAACAAGCCACGAAGAGCACAAGTAACCTGAGGGAAGACATCCCCAAACAGCTTGGCTCTGTCTCCAAATGCACAGCCATGTCCCCTACCCATCTCTCGTCACCTGGGAACAGAAGAGGAAAACTCTGTATTTTACTGCCCACTACACCATAAGCAATAAATATAAAAAAAAAAAAAAGATTTTAATGCTTGCTGCTCCACTGAAAAAACAAGTTAAGGTTTTCACAAAGCTAGTCAGATTAGACCTACAATGTCACTCCAGACTGCTGCTTTCAAGAGGGTGCCTTATAGCCTAAATTTGGTACTTACTGCTGGCTCCATTTCATTTATGAATCTTAAACCTACAGTCCTTGGTCAAATTTTGTCTGGCCTTGCATACTGGGACACATGGGGCCTCAGCTGCAAGAAAGATACAGTTACCTGCAGCTTTGCTAATTAGCTCTGTGAATAACCACTAAAATTTACCAGCTAATGCCTATAGACAGTACACCAAAGGTAAAGAGCAAGGGGAAAAAACAAAAAAACAGAGAACCGCACACCCACACCTTCTGTCCTTACCAAGTAAAAAAGGTCTGATTTGGGAAAGCTAAATTTCACAACGCTGCATTGAAGATGCCACAATGACAGACAGGTAGGGTTTGCAAACACCCCAACAAACCAAACACCCCAACTCTGGGGTCATACTCAGCAAGCCAAGAGGCAGAGGACCATACCATGGCACAACGAAAATTGTGAAGATACAATGCAACACAAGAAGTGGTGTATCTGGTAACTGCTCGGTTTTCCCAAGATGCAAACCAGGACTTGTCATCTGGTAGAGATGCTGTCTACAACACCCTGGTATTGCTTCTTATGACCTGGGTGGTTCAGAAACCATATGTGGCATTCAGTTCCTGAGAGGGAACAGAATTTATACTTTAAAATACCAGAAGAGCAGATTTATCCACGACAGGGTGCCTAACTTGCGGCCAAAACAATCCATACAAACCACCACCTTTTCCAGCTGGCTGCTCCTGAAGGCCCCTCTGGTCTGCAAAAGGAGCAAGTAAGAGGGCAGGCCGTTCATTTTGTCAGTCACTGCTTGAGAACTCCGGCAGCCTTTGCTCCATCGTACATCCCCCCAAAAAAAAGCTTCTGCAGCAGGACTCATGTGCAGGCACCAGTGACCCAATTAGCGCTTGTAAAAGTAAATGACTGAAATACCCCTAATCTTCTGCAGACAGCCTCCGGTCACAGAATTGTAGGATCATCCAGGTTGGAAAAGAACTTACAGATCCTCAGATTCAACCACCAGCTCTTCTGGGGTTGCTGTGACCCCAGAGCGGGACCTGGCACTTACCCCGGCTGAATCGATCCGGCCCAGGCGTGGGCACACCTCAGTCATATCAACACAACTGCACAAGCCAGCTGCAGGACGGAGGATGCCCACGCTTAGGTCAGGATACAAGCTGCTCACAATACCAAAGGAAACAGCAGTCGAGGGCTGCTGTTCTTTGCTGTCACCTGAAGCATGACCTACTGTGAAAGCAACATTTCACTCCCTAAATTCTCTGGTTTTCCATTATTGTCTGGTGAATTTTATGATTTTTTGGTGTACTTGCAATTCTTTTCCTAAAAGCAAGTACTCCGGTCATGTTCCAAAACCTGCATGAATTACCTTGGGATTTACAGGTGATCAATGTATCATGGTAACTCACATTCCCAAAACACACGATGGAAGCTGCTAGAACTCAGTGGATGATTTGAACAAGGTTGTCACTGAAGGCCTGTCATGACAGAGCTTCTTTAACCTGCATGGAGACTGGAGAAGTTACGTGCAACCATCTGCTGAGCTCTGGCAGCAGCAAGACGAGTTTCACATCAGTAAGGACTTAACAAAGAAAACTTCTTTCTCAGTCCCCAGCAGAGAAATTTGCAATCATACCAAAAAACGCCTCGATTTAGAGTTCTGAATCTCATAAAATGAAGAGTGTTTTTTAAACACAGTAAGAACATGGTGAATTGAGTCAGAAAAAGTGATCCAAACTGAACTGATATAAATCGTTGTCTGCAAACTAGAAAGCACCTCAGATTTCACACACAAATGCTGGGCTACCATCTAAGAGTTCAGCTTCCCAATTACACCCACAACTCGGGTACTTTTTTGACAAGTGAATCTTATATTCTGTTTGACCTCACATGCATAAGAAAAGCAAAGTTGATAAAGAAAGCATGCACTGATCTGTTCAGTGTTGGCAGTCCATCAGTTCCAGTGGGACAACCCATGCCAATGATTTTATCAGGACCTATCCTTGTAGGGACTGGGTAAAAGTATCTTCCAGTAAACTTCACAGCCTTATGAAAGCTTGCTCCAAATCTAATTCAAAATAAATAAATAAAAGAGAAAGAAAAACATTCTAGTTAGCCCAAAATTGAACTTTTACGTGTTTTTATTGTTCACCAGAGACAACACCCTGTTTAAACCCTAGAAAGCATGGAGCCTGCTTCCGACAGAAGCAATGGGGGCAAGTGAACAAAGTGTCGGAGGCATGGGACAACAAACACTGTAAGAGTGATCAGAGTTGGGGACAAAAGTATGAGGTCCTGAATGCACACTGTGCACTGGGCAAGCCACTTACTCTCTGCGGAGCCAGATTTAAGGAATTCGAAGCTGGATCTGTGGCACCAACGGGACGCTCGGTTGAAGAGGACAATGTTTGCCAGGGACTGCAAAGGACCACGACCACCTCGGCGCACAGGAGGAAGGCAGGGCAGGGAGTCAGGTCTATGCCCACTGGGGCTGCAACCCGCTGCTCCGGAGGCAGGAGGCCTGCAGCCAAGGGCCTGGCGCCTGTTTTATCCCCACGGGAGCTGTGTCCCAGGAGCCGGGCGGGCTGACCTCCCCCTGCCCGCCTCGGGGGAGCGGCACCCAGCCCGTCCCTGCTCGCTCCGGGCATGACACAGCGCATCGGTCTGGCCGCACATGGCTCTTGTAACCTACTTTCATCCCCTGGACTGCACGAAAGGGAAGAGCAGCAGCAGCAGCAGCAGCAGCAGCAGCAGCGTGTTCTCCCAAAACACAGGCTTGCCACCGCTGAGGCATTTTGGAGAAGCAGTGCGGGACCGACTGCTGACCCTCCGCAGCCCCGTGCCCAGCCCCGTGCCCAGCCCCTGCCCCTGCCCCTGCCCCTGCCCGTGCCCGTGCCCGTCCCGGCGGCGCCGCTCACATGTGCGGGTTCCGCGCGAAGGCGTTGCGGATGTCCTTCACCACCCGCTGCACCAGCACCGCCACCTCCTCCGGGGACTCGGCCATCTTCCAGCACAGCACAGCACAGCCCAGCAGAGCCGTGCCGGGCCCTGCCGTGCCGTGCCGAGCCCAGCCGAGCTCTTCCGGGGCAACGCGGGGCCGCCGTGCGGCTGGGGCGGCCCCGGCTCGGCGCCCCCCGGCGGCTGGTGGCGGCCGAGGGGACGGCGCCGCCCGCAGGGGCCCGGCCCCGGCTGCTGGGGGGGCGTGGAGGGGACGCGGCCGTGTCCTGAGGGCAGAGAGCAGCGCAGACGGAGGCATTTGTAGACAAGGAGCTCTGTCAGGGCGGTGTGAGGCAGGGGGAGGTGGATGTCCCCCCTGAGAAACGCTGAATGTGTGCCCACACGTTTTAGCGAGGGTGTCCCCACACCAAGTGACACAAGGCGCTGATGGGAGTGCAGGGTTAAAAGCCAAAATGAACGTGTCGGAGACATCTTCTGCAGCAACTGCTAAAAGACAGCTTACTGCTTTCTATGTTGCTTTCCACTTACTCCCTGAAATAATATTTTAAGTGCTTATGGATGCTTAAAAGCCTGCTGTAATATTTTTCCTCTCACGAGAAAGGGCAACCCCACCTCCTCACCGTCCCAGCCTGCCTCTCCTGAAGAGCCTTCACTGCAGCCCTCACCTCCCACCGCACCTCTGTGCCCCCAGGAAGATCCCAGCCTTGCAGCTGCACACACAGCTCCAGCTCACACCGTCCTGACCCCCCACAAACCGCCTTGAGGCATTTCTCCATTTTGGTGCATTGCTTACATTCGTGCAAATGCTGCAGGTGAACCCTATTTTGTTGACCTGGGGGATTCACTCCTGTCACATCACTCCAGGCTCTTTGCTCCTCAACCCTGTCCATCATTCCCTGACAAGCCTGCCAGCCTCTCTCTGGCACTACTCGAACAGAGATAAACCGAGGTGGTGCAACAGCCTGTTTGGGAAGCCCCCTCGGTTTAACACACTTATGTCCATTTTGGGTGATGCACTACTAGTGGGTGCTGTATTGCTTAAAATTATGTCTTGTTAAATCAGGTTTTCAGTGATTATGCTATAAATGAAGATACAACTCGATCTGAATTTAGTAATATTTATAAAATGCAAGTAAACAGCGCTGGGTGCATGGGGAGTCTTTGCTCTACCAACATGCACACCCAAACGTCGAACTTTCTAAATACATATAGAACATGGTTCTATAAAAAAAAAATAAAAAAAAAAAATAATAAAAAAAAGAACAAGGAAGAAAATCCAATTTCCTTGTTTTTTTTTTTTTTTGATTTTTTTTTTTAATTATTTTATTTTATTATTTGGAATTATTATTTATTACTTCAAATTATTTTATTTTGAAGGATTTAGAATCATAGGATGAATCACAAAATGGGTTGGGTTGCAGAGGACTTTGAAGATCACACGGGGATGATCTAGTAGGGATGCCACCCACTAGAACAGATTGCCCAAAGCCCCATCCAGCTTGGCCTTGAACGCCTCCAGGGATGGGGCATCCACAGCTTCTCTGGGCACCCTGTGCCAGGGCCTCACCACCCTCACAGTAAATAATTTCTTCCTAATGTCTAATCTAAATCACCTCTCTTTTAGTTTAAAGCCATTACCCCTCCTCTTATCACTTCATTCCCCGATAAAAAGTCCTTTTCCAGTTTAATAGTAACATAGGAAATATACTTAGTTCTCAGTGCTTGACATTATTTTTTGAAGAAAATGTTCCTCAACAGTCGTGTATATTTCTGAATCCTGCTAATGTCATTGTTTGTTAATACTGAAACAGTGTATGTTCTCACTTTTTTTTCCCTTACCTCCTTCCCCACCCTCATCCCCCCACCCCACGTTTTCAAATATACCCAGCAGTGTGCTTCAGAACACTTCTCATTTGAGTAGTCTTCTCAGCCTTGACAAAAGGAGAGGTTACAGAGGCGCAGGAGACTACATTATCTGTTATAGCAATACTGATAGGAAACAATTTTGGAAAAATCTCTCAAATGGCAAACTTTGTGAAGCTGACATTTGGAAGGGCAAATACCTTCTTTACAACGTAACATCATTTTCTTGTTCTACCAATAGAGTTCTGGTGCTGAATGAAGCAGAATATTTTAGAGAAATTATATGGGAAAGAAGCAGTTTTTGTGGGTTAATAAAGGCTGTTAAAGTCACATTGCATGTTTTATTTGGTTTTATGCCTTGCCTTGTTTTTATTTGATTGTTTTGTTGTTGTTGTTGTTGTTGTTGTTTTTTTTCCCTAGTTTTCCTGCCTTACTTGTTTGAAATACATAACCTTCATTTAATTTTTTTCCGAAGATGATGTTGTTTTTTATCTGAGAAAAATGATAAATAATAGAGAGAAATAATAAAAATGAGAAATAATAAAAAGCATTACTTTCTTTGTAATATATGTGGAGAAAGTTTGTTGTTTGTCATTTTCTTATATTAGCTAGTTAGTAGTTTACACTGGAGGTCAGATTGTAATTGTGTTACTCAGATATTGTCAATTGCTTCTTCCTTGCAACAAAACCAGATAATTTGTACGAAAAATTTATCCTAATTTAGTGCTGAGTCAAAATTTAATATGCCAATATAATGCTTTAGCTACAATAAATTGTGTTTTATTATAATGATTTTTTGAACACTGTAAGAACTGTGGTGTTGACTTGCAGAAAATGGACTCCACGATCAGTCAGATAGTACAGTAGGTGTGTTTATTCAGTGCTGGGCAGCACAGGGGGTAGTCCCGCCAAAGTTGTGTGCACCTGACGTGGCAACTTGCCTTGGTTATATGCAGTGAATTGTTACATATGCATGAAGTTTCACAATACACCTATACATATTCATAACCTGTCCCCGCTTCATATTAAAATTAATCCCAAGGAGTCATTTCCATAAACTCCTCCCATCTGCGCTTTACGCAGTGTATCCTGGTGGTGGTTGTTGGGGGTTGTGGGGATGAAGATTGATGATTCTTCCTCGTCACCGCTACCTGACCTCTTGTCTCTGTGCAGACTCCTTGGCTCTTGTCCATTCGCAGGATCAGCTTCTAACAGTTTCTTAAGACAAGCTCACACTCTTATTAGCAGACTGGTCTTGGTAAGGGGCCCAAGGCTTCTTGCTTTAGTTAATTTGCACAATGAACCATAGTTAGCCAAGACACTAAGTAGCATCCTAGTTTAATGCCGTCAGCGCTTTATCACTACGTGAGAAACAAACTCCCTCTGTCAGGCTGGACACACAGGCTCTGTGTGGCTCAGTTCATGTGATCAATGTATCGGTGGGATAGTAGAAATGGCATTGTTGAGGGACACTGCAGACATGGTCCACAGCTGGATGAAAGAGAAAAGGAATGGATAGAAAGGAGGAGCAAACCTCATACTGAAATGTGCAGAAAAATCTGAATATAAGGTTTCTCAGAAACATCCCATACTTTCTATAATTTTTGTTTAATGAAATTAAATTGTGGCTATTAGATTTTCTATGTTTCTCCAAATTAATTCTTTTCCATTCCCACTAAAAGTAAATGTAGTTGAAGTGCCAAGAAAAGGTGATCATGCATACTAAACTATCCACTCTCTTTTGTTGAATAATATTAATCTATGTAACAGTTGAAGCTAAATTGATTTTAATTCTAGAGTAGCCTTAGGCAAGAAATGTTAAATTGCTAAAACATATACTTGTGTTTTATCAATATATATTTATTACGGTGAAAATGTTCCTAATATGCCAGGTAATGTTACTTTTTTTTTTTTTTTTCTTTTCTGAAAATCAAACTGCATTTATTTTCACTCAGACCTCCTATTAATCTGGAGCTGTTCCAGCAGCACTTGTATATATATGTGTTCTGCCAAGAGGTTTGAGTACACCTACCCTGTCCGCTGCAAAATGGTGGCAATTGATTCAAATATCCACTTGAATCAGCTAATCATGCACAATCAACGGAATCAATTAAGATAAGTCTGTCGCCACATTTTTTCCTCTTTCAAAATGTGATTTATTTGTTTTAAGTTCTGTGAAGGAATAATAATTGTTTTAGTGCTGGGTGTGTACTATTATACATACCATTAGTCCAATGTTAGCTAAGACAAAGATATCTTTATACAGTTTTCCATATCAGCAAACTCATGTTGAAAAAGCTTCTCTACCTAGATAAATGTACAGCTTACCTCTGCTTTCATCATGATTTTTCTTATGATTGTTAAGGACTGATGCAGACAAGTAATATCTATGACTATTTTTTGTTTTCCATCCTATTGTAGCATGAAGGTGGGATGATTGCTTGGTTTTGTAAATGAGCATATATTATGTTGTGCCTAGGTCATCTTGAAACATTTTTACTTACTGCCAGAGGCCACATTTGGCTGCTTTTGAGAATGTTTTCTCATTTTTTAGGGAAAGTCACAAGTAAGTCTCAGAATATTTCCTTACATGTAAGAGCACTAAGTTTTACAGGTAAAAGCATTAATTTCTATTTAGGATACAGATGATAGAGAGTGGAATTCTGTGACTTACTGACTTCACTTTTTGTATATTTACATATTTTAATATGCTTTATTACTATTCTTCACAACAGCCATACAATATGTGAAAGTATATAAATCAGTGACAGATGGGCTTGACTGGTTTAAACTGAAGAGACTTGGAGCCTACATCTGGAAACTGAAGGGACAAGGAAGAAATTCCTTACTGATGTCAACGTGCATGTAGTGGACTGCTGGATAAGGACTGCATGCAAAAGCAAAGTACAGAACTTTACTTTTTATGATGATCTAGTATGCGATTTTTATTAGACTGGATAGATTTCCTTACTTAGAAAGAATTTTTCTCCCACTTTATAAAAGATACAGACTATAACATGGGAATCTAGAAGATGGACTTTGGTACCTAGGAAAGAAGAAAAGCATTATGTCTATAGTGACAAGAATGGAGGAAATACTTCATTTTGGTGACATAGAAGGAGGTCACAGAGGAGCACAATGCTTCAGGAACGCAAAATAATTCATTTAACAATTCATCTAATAATTCATCATGTAACACCTATAGACTTCTTACCATAGTTACTAAGAATAGTGCTTGGTTCTATATGAGGACAGAGTTGTTTAGCACTCTTG